CCTTTATACCACACTACACTGTCTCTTAGTACATATGTGGGCGTAGTGAATCCCACTCTACCTTTACCTTTTGTCCTTTAAAGTTGCTTTTGGAAAACGCTTAATTAATATTACTTGAGGTGACTACCCCTGAATACTGAAAGTCTTTTGTTTAAACTAGAGTTAACCATAATAGTAATATTCAATGATCAGAAATAAGCAGAATAAACTAGCTCTCAATTGTGTTCCACATCCAGATTAAAAAAAAGAAATGACCACCTGCATTCACAGTATTATTAGATGTGTTATGAAAGGGAAAAAGGCCAACTGTTAGCTTTATTTCATGCACAAGAGCTCAATGTGTCCATACAAATTCTTATCCCAATTTTAAAAAATGTTGGCATTAAGAGTAATGTGCCAAAAACCAAGTCAATTACAGTTCCAACTACATCTTTTTGAGCCCCCCACCTCCAATTACATCGTACTATTTCACTGACTATTTACTACCATGTAATGTGATGAAGATGAGAAATTGAGCACAAGCATCAAGATTCCCAGTGATCACGAAATACATTTATTTCCATTTATGTCAAATAGCTGAGGTGGTTAATTAAAGTGTTAATTATACAAGCAGACCCAATGTGAATAGAAATGGCTTTACTACAAAAAGATTCAAAATTAAATTGGCTTTAATAACCTATTTCCCTGTCATGGGTACTTCCATCCAAGACTGGACACAGAAGCAGGTACACAACAAAAAAGAGAAGTTGCTGCCTTAATGGGCACTAATTTACCTAATGCTGCTATCTAAAATCAGGAAATAGCAAATATGATGTATATAACCGTGACATGCACAAGTATACATGTAGGAAGTCCCCACTGGTTTCCCCTCAAATACCAAGGACAAAGTGATAACTGCAGTTGTTTAACTTACTCCCCCCTTTGTGCCTTATCCACGTAAGACAGACCACTAAAGAACTTAATTTAAAAAAAATACACACACCTGTCCATGTATTCTGATCCTTTGCTTCAGCTAGAATTATGGAATTCTAATCTAACAAGAAAATAAAAAGAACTCCATGATCCAAAATTCATCAACCTACTCTTTAAATACTTTAGAAAAAAAAAAAAGCCAGGTGTTTTCTAAGAAAAGTTTTTCATAATTTGCTAAGTAGATGAAAGCACCATTAATGTCACACTCCCATTTCACAAACTCTTTAGACTTGAAAGGCCCAAGAGATCATTTAATTTTCCTGACACCACATAATGCCATGTCTAAACCACTAAAGAATGAGATTTATCAATAGCATAAGTTCAACAAGAAGAGCTAGGTGCTAGCTGACTGTGAAACAATCACTTGGGAAGACAGTTTAAAAAAATTTCCCTGAGCCTCACTTCAGGCCTACCAAATCAGAATCTCAGGAGAGCTTGTTAATACATATTAACAAACTTCCTAAGGGATTGTGATATACAGCACCAATCTGTGTACTACTCCAATTCACCAAAGAGAATTTTTACAAATTATGGCATCTGAAGTTTCCCAAACTGCTACAACCTACCTCGTTCATCTAAAAAGATATTTGAATCCATCAATGGGAATGGACAAGCTGAACTGAGAAAGATTTAAATCAAAGATAATTTTTATCTTCAAGTGAAGTTCAGGTCAAAGAAACCTATCACACTGTCAACTCTATCCCATGCAAATGATAAAAGAACTGAGAAAGATGTTTCTTGTTCTCTAGGCAATACAACTAAAAGGAGGTGAAAGTTACTTACATAGTTCTTGACTTCTCGTCGAGCATTAGCATCAATAGCAAGCCACCTTTGCTGATATTGTGCCTTGATATCTGGATCTTTAGATGTCAAAGAATTCTTGATTTGTAGACCAGCTGCAACTCTGGCAACCTGACTGTTCCCTGGATTTGCCAGCACTCTGGACAGTTCCACAAGAAAAGTGGGCTGTTAAGAGAAAATTCATTTGCAAATGAAAATCTCTTTTGAGAATTTCAACTGATGATTGATTATGGACTAAACCACTGGAGGAAAAAAACCTAATTTTTTTGGAGGTATCATAAACATCTAAGGAAACTGCAAAATATTTAAGATTCCTATGGAAACATTACTTAGTACATGAGGAAGTCATCTACATTCTCATGCACCCTAGCATTTAAGGAGTTACAAATTTTCCTATCAAGAACATTCTTACAGCCCAAATCCTTACATTACACCCCCTGAATTAGAGCAAGTTTGACTATCTGGTGGTCAGTGAATTCTTCTATGTACCTTAGTGTACCAACAACCTAGAACAATGGCTGTTACTAGATAAATGTTTGTTGAATGACTATATTTTGACAAAGTAGAAAAGTAAAACTGTCTTTTTAAATTTCAAAAACCTTGGTCCAAAAAGAATGATACTCAGGGCACCTTTTTATGTCATGCAAGCGGGCAATCTTTTATACAAGAGGGAAATACTTAAACATAAGTCTAAAACAGACTAAGGAGCCTAGTCCTTTATATTTTAGTTCTAAGTGTAGCAAAAGGAGAATAACGAATAAAAAAGATTTAAGGAAAAGTGATAATAAATATTTAGAAATAGAAAAAATTTAAAAGATAAAAATGTCATGGCAAGCTGTTCAAGGAAAATGATTTTCTATTTAATAGTCAACAGTTAAAACACTTGCTCTTACACTTCTGGACTTGAGTTGTCCACTAAACATAGTGGATCCCTGAAGAGCATACTCTTTTGTAATCTTCCCTACTACACAAGTCCCAAAAGCTACTCTGTTTAAAAATTTTAACACACACGCCCTCTCCCTCCACCAAAAAAAGCCCTGTCCCAACCACAAAGTTAAGAGGAAAAGCCAAATGCAGATACATTTTCTTACTGTTAACAAGTTCTGCAATCACAGCAGAAGGTAATTCTTATATTAATTATGTACCACTAAAGAATGGTAATAAGATAAAAAAGCTTCTTACAAATTAACAAAAAGCAGAAACAGGAATGATATCCTAAATCGAAGTATCAGTCTATACTAGTGGGAAAATATTTTCTAGGGAAAGGATAAAAAGGTTAGTAGTAAAAACTAGCACATATAAGGACAGAAAAATCATTCTAAGGCAGTTTGTATAAAGCCTACCACTTTGTTGTTGACATTCTGCCTATATAACACAAAGGAACACATAGTTACAGTGTTATTCTGACTTATTACCTATTACCTCCTTAAAAGATGTCAAGTATCATTCACCCTTCCTTCCATCCCCCATCCCCCAACAGGAGGACACCAGAGAAACACAACTGGTACTCTGGCTGTTTCAAGCAATCCATCCCACATTTTAATACAAAGGTCCAGTCTCCAATGGACTTATCTTCATTTTTTCTGTAACCCTTAAATTCCAAAATATGAAAAACGAGGAACTTTCCTCTGTGACTCCATCAGGAAATAGGCCCGATCTCAAAGATGAGCCTCAGTCTGCTGTCTGGGTGCAGATCCCTAGTGATTAGATCTCTATTCATCGAGGTCAAAAGAAAAAAAAACATCCAGGAGAGGAATGGCCGGGCAGGAAAGGGAAAAATATTAGTGGATCTGTGTTAAGAGGCAGTCGGGTGCCAGGCCTGGCCATGAGCACAGACCAAGGGGGATAGGAAAGGGCAGAGCTCTGGGAAGTAGGTGGAGAGAGCCACAGGGGCCACGGGACAGGAAGGAGAAGCCGGCCCGGGTCAGACAGGGCGGGCAGCCGGGCCCGGAGCTTCCACATGGCCCCTAGGCCCGGCTCCCCCACCCCCACCCTTGCTGAACACGCAGCGCCGCGCAACCTAACTTCCCTTCCCTCCCTCATTCTCCCTCCCGCTGCACCGCAGCCCTCAGGCCGCGCGGCGATTGGGCGGCAGTCAGCCCGGCGCACCGCGCCATTGGCCAGCCGCGGGGCCCGGGGCGGGACACACCCACCGGCTTCCCGATGGCGGGGTTAGGTTGGACGCGGGGGGAGGGGGACGGGATGGGGCGGGGTGGGTTCCCGAGGCCTGGGCCTCCGGGAGGGCGGGAAGGCCCCGCACGCAGGGGATGGGGACGCGGCGGGATGGGCGCGGCGGGGTAGCACGCACCAGGTTCTCTACGGCCGCACGCTCCAGGAACTTCTGCGCCGCTTCCAGCTCCAGCCGATCTAGGGGGAAGGAAAGTGGGAAAGGGAGTGGGGTCAGAGGAGCCGGGGCTTCCCCTCCCCCACCTCCAATCACCTCAGCGCGACCCCCGGTCCCCGCGTCCTACCGGGAGACACGGTCTTCTCGAGGATGGTGATCAGCTCCATGGCGGAGGTGGCGGCGGCGACTCCTCCTAAGACGACGGTCCGGCCTCTTTCGGGCGGCGGCTCAAACTGGGGATGGGGGTTGGGGGTCGGGTGGGAAGGGAGGGTGGGGTAGGGGGCGGGGGTCACCACAAGCCCATTCACCGGCTCCTTCTGGGTAGTCGCTCCGGCTCCCCTTTCTCCCCTCTTTCCTTCCTTCCTCCCTCCTAAAGTGCTGCTGGCGGCGGCGGCAGCTGCTCCTCTGGCGGCGGGGGAGGGACCCCGGGGGCAGCTCAGAGCGCGGCTGGTGCTCGGGTGGCGGAGGGAGAAAGAAGGAAGGGAGGCAGTAAGTGAACGGCGGCTCGCAGGGAGGGAGAGAGAGGGAGGGAGGAAGGCGGAGGGATATTCGGGCCGGACCTCTCCGCGGCGGCACCGCGCTCCACGGCGATTGGCTGCTGTCCTGGCCACGCGGAATCCCCAATTGGCCAGGCGGCCAGCGTTGAAGGGCCGCCCAGCGCCCATTCGCCTGCTGGTTTCAAGGCCCGGGTTGGCTGGGCGGGCAGCGGAATAGGGCGCGCGGATTGGCTGAGGGGAGGGAGATTGGGGTGGGGCAGGCGGGAGCCGGCTGCTGATTGGGTTGTCCTGGTAAAGGCCTTGAGCGCAGACCGGCTAAACGCTGGGAGGAGGGAGGACCGAAGGCAAGACTTGGAGCCCATGTGATTGGCTGGGATTCTAGACGTTGATAGGATAGGGTGCCCGGGAGAACTGGGTAGAGGAGTTTGGGGTCGGGGCGCGGAAAGGCGGGAGGCACCCCGCTGCCTTCGGAGCCTAGCGCGGGGCACGATGGGACGCCCCCAGGAAGGGGCGGAGCCGTGTTCGACCGCTGGGCCTGCGGTTGGGTAAGCACCGTCACTCCGAGGGGCGTGTTGAGAGTTTCGCGGGCCTGAGCGGGGGCGGGGGGACCGTTAATGTCCTGCGCCGCGCCCACAGGAAGGTGTTTTCTTAAAGGCTGGGTCTACTTGGTGCCGGGCTCTCGGCTGGGAAAGACTTTGAAGACCATGTGATTCAACTTGCGATGTACAGCTGTGGAAACTGAAGCCCAGAGAGGGTATGGAACATACCCAAGGTCACACAGCCGGTTAGTGACTTGGTCAGGACTGGGCTCAAGCGCTCCTGACCGCCTTGACTCTAGACATAGCTTCCCCTCCAAGGAGTCCCCTTAGGCCTGTTTATAAGGCTTGAGACCTGTGTTGTTACAAGATCTAACTTAGGGGTGAGCTAAGGGATTCCTCCTCTGAGACCCCCATCTATATACCTACCAGGTATTTGACGGTACGAATATTTCACCCTCGAAAGGTACCCCTGTAAAGGGACACTTTTGAGCCAGAAAGAATGTGTGTACAGGCATAAAGGATTGTGGTTCTTTAGGTGTTTTAGTTCTGAGCCCTGGAAGAAACTCATGAAAGCCTTTTCTTACCAAAGTGCACATAAAGAAAATGCGCACAAAGTGTCTCGACTTCCCCTGAAATTGGTACGTGGGCTCCAGGTTAAGGATTTTCTGGATTGTTACATTTTCACCATGCTGATGTAGGGTTAATTGGATGTAGCTGGTCTGTAGAGCTCTTTGCCATCCATATAGCTTGAGCTTGTGAAATAATTGCCCTACAGTAGCCACACTGGGAAAACCTAGGAGGAAGTCTGTCCTTGCTGAGGGATTTCACCCAAGAACTAGGGAAGCTTGGCCAGCTACCCCTGATAATTAAAAGAGGAAGAAGCCGTCTTCCTCTGCTGGAGATTTCTGTGCAGTTCTGAAGCTAGAAGTGTAGAGGGACACCGTTTCTCACACCATCCTGTGACTAGTTGATTTCCCTTGGCTTATCAGATCCCTAACCCCAGCCTTCTGCTTCATCTGTTAGCTGTGGAATAACTGCCCTGTATATGTAACTTTGTTAGAAATCAGTGAGGGTTAAGTAAGATGACACCCATGAAAATCCTTGAGTTTTCTTTATATGAATTACCCTAAGTACAAATGATTCATAATTTGTTTCACTCTACTCCCTGCTCTCCAGCAGGTTGCTGGGCCACCTCCTCTGTCATGATAGTACCAGCAAGAGCAAGTGGGTTTTTAAAGTAGCTGAAATAAAATTATGGGAAGATAAAAGTTGTTGCAGCAAAGTTCCAGTCAAACAAAAGATCCTTACTAAATTAAAATGAAATGATTTTAGTTGAACTAAGGTTACTGATGGTGCCGTTTCATCCCTATCAAAAGTACTCACACTATACTGGACTCAGCAGATGCTGGTGAGGCGCTAGAGCTTGAGTGTTAAGCACACAGACCCCAGAAATTAGCTGCCTGAATTTGTATCCCAGCTCTACCACTTCTTAGCTTGTGTGACTTAACTTTCCTTATGTGTAAAATGGGGCTATTTGACCCTATCTCATAGGGCTTTAGGGAGGCCCTACATGAGTTAATAGATGTTGAGTTCTAGGAACACTGTCTAGCAGGTTAGCTACATTGGCTATTGTCTCTTTAGTATGTATTTTGTGCTAAGCTAGTCATTCTTGGTCCTTGGTCTATTAGGGAAGATAGACTTTAATCATCTAATGTCACACACAAATGTAAAGTTGTAAAAATGACACATGCCAAGGAGTGATCCAGTCAGGGTGTTCAGAGAAAGCTTACCTGGGGGGTGGAAGAGAGTTAATCAAGAGAAAAAGGGGGCCGTGCACAGTGGCTCATGCCTGTAATCCTAGCACTCTGGGAGGCTGAGGCAAGAGGGTTGCTTGATCTCAGGAGTTCAGCACCAGCCTGAGCAAGAGCGAGACCCGTCTCTACTATAAATAGTAAGAAATTAGCCAAACAACTAAAAGTAAAACAAATTAGCCGGGCATGGTGGCATGTGCCTGTGGTCCCAACTACCTGGGAGACAGAGGCAGGATGATTGCTTGAGCTGAGGAATTTGAAGTTGCCATGAGCTAGGCCAACGCCATGGCACTCTAGCCCGGGCAACAGAGTGAGACTCTGTCTCAATAAAAAAGAGAAAAAGGGAGGAATAGCAAATGCAGAGGCTCGGTGGAACAAAGGAGCTTGGGGATTACAAGGATAGGCAGGAAGGCCCCAAAACACAGAGAACAAGGGGTAGAGGTAAAGAGTGTTGAGAGAGGGCAAGACCATTCGAGACCTTGCATGCCAGGCAAGCGGTTTTGTCTGTATCCTAAGAGCAAAGGGCAGCTATTGAAAGGTTTTAAGAAGGATGGTGGTTGCAGGGTGGTGACTGAATGGGAAGAGGGAGGGGTAGATGCTGGGAGGCGGTTAGGAGGCCATTGCAAGAATCCACATAAGAGAAGGGAGAAGGGTGGAAGTAATGGTGGAAACAGAAAGAAATAGAGGTCCAACGTGGTGATCACACTTGTAATCCTAGCACTTTGGGAGGCCAAGGTGGGCGGATCACTTGAGGCCAGGAGTTCAAGACCAGCCTGAGCAAGAGCAAGACCTCAACTCTACAAAAAATAGAAAAATTAGCTGGGTGCATGCCTGTAGTCCCACCTTGGGGGCTGAGACAGGAGGATTGCTTGAGTCCAGAAGTTCGAGGTTGCTGTGAGCTAGGCTGACTCCACGGCACACTAGCCCAGGTGACAGAGCAAGACTGTGTTTCAGAAGAAAAGGAAATAGCAAAATTAATTGAACTTGGTGATCGATTGGAAGAAGAGGGAGGTATCACTGGTACCTACTAGATTTCTGGCTTTCGGTGTTGCATGTGATGTTTCTCAATGACAGAAATTGAAGGCCACATGATTTAGTAGCAAAGGGGGTTTCAAGTTAGATTACATAGGTTTTGATATGTTATTCTCTGTAACTTTTTTATATGGCAAGTATGTTTGTGATCAAAAAATATTTTTAATTTTAAAAAATGAATAAATTCCTAAAATGCTGAGGAAAACTGGGTTTCAGTCTTACTCTGCCACTTCTGCTGATTGATCTGGAACAAGGTGCTTGTTAACCTTTTGGCCTGTGAAATGGGGAGCATCTCTGCCCGAACTTGGGAGGTCTGAACCTGATCAGGAGCTTCTCTGTAGGTGCTGAGTGCTGCCAAGTGTCTGTGAAGTGGGTGAATTCATAAGTGGATGAGGTTGGCCTGCAGTTGCCCTACCCCATCCCCCTCATAGCCACAGGGTAAGCGTGTGATATGAGTGGCCTCCAGGGGAGGAGCAGTCGGGCTGGGACCCTGAGCACCTCTAACAACCTGGGAAGGGTTAAACTTTGGCCTCGTTCACATGGAAGAAAAATGGAGTTGAATGAAACCTCCAGAAGACTGAGTGCCCACCTGCTTAGTAATGGGGCACACTGAATTGCCATGTTCCTGCATTTCCATACAACACTTTTTCCAAGAAATTTAGGAAACAGAGCATTCACAGAAAAGTAGCTGAGGCCAGGCATGGTGGCTTACACCTGTAATCCCAGTACTTTGGGAGGCAGAGGTGAGAGGATTGCTTGAGATCAGGAGTTAGAGACATAACCCCATGTCTATAAAAAAATGCAAAAATTAGCTGGCTGTGGTGGCATGCACCAGTAGTCCCATCTGCTCGGAAGGCTTGAGCCCAGGAGTTCAAGGCTGCAGTGAGCTATGATGATGCCATGGCACTCTAAGCCCAGGAAACAGAGTGAGATACTGTATCGGAAAAAAAAAAAGGCAGCTGAGAATTGTTGGTGTTTCATCCTCAACTTCTAGAAGCAGAGAGACTATTATCTTAAAACACCTCTCTCATCTCCCACCTCTTTCCTTTGCTCACCAGGCTCTAGCCTTCTTTCTGTTCCTTGAACATACTGTGATTTGGGAATCACAGGACCTTGGCATTTGCTGTTCCTTCTGCCTAGAATCTGTTCCTCTGACTGGCACCTGGCCAGTTCCTCCTCCTTATTCCTATCCCACTCCAGATACCACTTCAGAGGCCTTCCCCAACCACCCTAACTTAGTCCCCCCCCCTCCATACTCTTTATGACAAGCCTGTTCTCTTGTCTTCAGAACACCTCTCACTACCTGAAATTCTTTCCTACTGTCTGTGTTCACACACCCCACCCCCAAGAATGCAAGTTCCATGGGAGCAAGGATCCTGTCTGCCTCATTTATTACTTAAAATGGCACCTGGCACATAGAGGGTGCCCAAATATGTGTTAAATAGATGAAACACACATAAATAAATATCTTAGTCCATTTGTGTTGGTATAAAAGAATGCTGAGGCTGGATAATGTATAGAGAAAAGAAGTTTATTTGGCTCACAGTTCTGCAGGCTGTACAAGAAGCATGGCACCAGCTCTGTTCCTGGTGAGGGCCTCAATTTGCTCTTCCACTCATGGCAGAAGGGTAAGGGGAGCCAGAGTGTGCAAATCAAAAATCCCATGGCAAGAGAGGAGAGAGATAGAGGAGTGGAGGTGTCATGGGTTTTTTTGTTTGTTTTTTGTAAGAGACAGAATTTCACTTTGTGACCCAAGCTCTGGAGGGCAGTTGCAGGATCAGAGCTTACTGCAGCCTAGAATGCCTAGACTCAAGTGATCTTCCCACCTCAAGCTCCCAAGTAGCTGGACTCCAGATGCATGCCACCACACCTAGCTAATTTTAAATTTTTATTGTAGAGATGAGGGCTTGCTATATTGCCCAGGCTAGTCTTGAACTCCTGGCCTCAAGCCATCCTCTCGCCTTGGCCTCCCAAAGCGTAGGGATTACAGGTGTGAGCCCCTGCACCTGGCCCAGGCTATTTTTAACAGCCAGTTCTGGAGTGTGAAAAGTGACTCCTTAGCTTTGTTCTTTTTTTTTTTAATTTATGTTTTATTTTTTTCTGCACCCCTCCCCCACCTCTAGCTTTGTTATAGATGATTTGTAACTTAGCTCAACTCTCCCTTCCACTATTATCCACACTAACGTGTACCTTTGGTCCAATCAAGCCAACCACCTCACTGTATATATACTGCAGAAGTACTCATCACTATCCTAGGCCTGTCCCCTGCCTAGAATTCCCTTCTTATCCCTCTGTCTTCAAGGTTGTACTCTTGTTAATTTGTTCATTCAGCTAGTTAATTTACTGGCTGTCTTCTGTAGTCCTTGGGGCATTTCAAGTATAATATGAGAATGTGGTAAGAA